TGGCGCCCCGTACCGCCCCGCCCCGCCCCGCCCCGCCCCCTGCGTTCCGGTGATGATGATTTCCGGGGCGACACGGCCAGCCACGGCCCTAGGGCTGCAGGCGGGTCGCAGCCGCGGCACCAGCGACCGGGGGCGCCGCGCGTGTGTGCGCCATCAAATTAACTTTCCATAAGTTTGATTTTTTTAAAATATTTTTAGGGGGGTTTCTGCATTTTTGTTTTCGTTTGAACGGAGTTCCCGGTACGCCGGCATCGCCCCGCGAGGTCCATTACTCCAATGGGGAGCTGAGTCAAGCACCAAAGCAAGTCGTTTTCGTTGCTCTGTCGCTCTCGCACCTGACGGGACACCCCAGGAGTGCGACAGAGACAGAGCGGTGGAAACGACTTTTCGGAATGAGTCTGCCGACGAGACGGGCTGTTTTCTGGAGTAGGCCGGACTCACCGCGAGCCCCCCCCTCCCCCCCCCCCCCCCCCCCCCCCCCCCCCTCCCCTCCCCTCCCCTCCCCTCCCCTCCCCCCCTCCCTTCCCGACGGCCGCCCGGTGTGACAACCCGTCCTGTCCGCGGTGACACGGCCCGTCCCGTGCCCCGTGTCACGTCGTGTCACGCCGTGTCGCGCTGCACTGTAATTTTGAGTCCGTTTAAATGCCGCGCCATGAAAGGTGCGTATTACGTGTCGACCCACGCGGCGAAAGCGAAGGCGTCCCTACACTGTGTGTTTTTAAATTTTTATTTGTTTGTTGCTTTTGGCCAGGGGCTGCATTGATTAAGTCCAATCGCCTCTTTGTATTTCTTTTTCGCGATCCGTGCGCAAACCCACGCAACAGTAATTAATTAAATTTGCTTCATTTATTTTTGCAAAAGTTCGGCAGCGCGGCGCGGCGCGGCCGGGCGGGTCACCCACCGGATGGCACCGATGTCCATTATACTTGGGAAGCAATTTTGCCGAGTTTTCCGCCCCGCCACGGCGCCCGGCATGGAGAGGCCGCGCTTTCCTTGGGGCTTTCGGGCTTTCGGCGGCGTGTCGCGTCGCGCGGATCAAAGTCCCTTCAAAGTAAGCTGGCCGCGGTGCCGCGTTGCCGCGCCGTGTCCCATTGTTATGCTTTATTAGCGGCCTGCTTTCTTAATCAAGTTATTCCTTCCCCTCCCCCTCCCCTCCCCCTCCCCTCCCCGTCCCCTCTCCCTCCCGCCCCGCGGCGAGGGTCATCGGGCCGAGCAATATCTCAGGCACTTCAAAACAGTGTGATGGAGGTTGGGGGATGGCGGGGGAGGGGAGGGGAGGGGAGGGGAGGGCAGGGGCCAAAAGGAAAATGGACTCGACTCCTCAGTTCCAGGAAAGCAAATAAGAGCGGGGCGCGCAGCCCGGCGTGGCTTCGGCGTGGCTTCGGCGGCGTGGTCGGCGAAGGAGAATGGCGGCGAATGGCCGACTTTACGTCCTGCGGGAACTTCACGCGCCGATTCCCCCTCGCAGTGGGCAGGCCGCAGGCGGACAAAACTCTAGACGCGTTTTGAGCTCCAGAGTCGCTAAACTGGACTCGAACCGAGCGTGTGACCCCATCAATGGATCCCTCGTTCGGAGGGCAAGCCATTGGTGGGGTCACACGTTCAGTTCGAGTCCCGTTTGTCGACTCTGGAGCTCGAAACGCGTCTAGAGCTTTGGCCGCCTCCACTGGTCGTCTGGCCCAGTAGCAGAACCGAAGCCCACCGAGTGCAAGGCAAAGCATTCTCGGAAATTTGCACAGGGAACAGGGCCCCTCTCTCTCTCTCTCTCTCTCTCTCTCTCTCTCTCTCTCTCTCTCTCTCTCTCTCTCTCTATCTCTCTCTCTCTCTCTATCTCTCTCTCTCTCTCTCTTTCTTTCTTTCTTTCTTTCTTTCTTTCTTTCTTTCTTTCTTTCTTTCTTTCTTTCTTTCTTTCTTTCTTTCTTTCTTTCTTTCTTTCTTTCTTTCTTTCTTTCTTTCTTTCTTTCTTTCTTTCTTTCGCTCTCTCTCGGAAAGCGCATTAACTTGGCAACGCGACCGAGGCGGTCTCGACCTCGGTACCAGACCAGCAATCACCAGCCAGCCGACTGGCAAATTAAGAGACACCTGTTTGAGTGGTTTGCCGCTCTGGCTCGCTCCAACTCTCAAACCCACACGGGCAGACTTTATTCCAAAGGGAAGCAAAAGAGACTCGCCACTCCCCCAGTCTTAATGGGAAACACCAAAACAGCACAATGTTGCTGCACGCTCGGTCCGCCACGCTCCGCCACGACGGCTTCTGGTTTCGATCCGCGTTTTGACGGCAAGTAATGAAGGAAGGAGGGGAAGAAGAGTCGGCTCCAATCAGCCGACCCGGAGGTCACGATGACAAATGATGGCGCGGCCAGTGAATGGCCTCAGACTCGCGCCGTCTCCCTCGCACCCTGGCGGCCCTGCGGCCCTGCGGGGTGCCCCGCGAGTGCGAGAAAGACGGAGACAGCGCACATGATTTATCTATCGGCGGTCAGGTGGACTCGCACAATAGACATCATGAGGGTCCTGTTCGTTCCCCTCGGCGGAGCACCGGGTTGCTTCCGAGGGACGCCTCTTCTCTCTCTCTCTCTCTCTCGCACTCCAGGAGCGCCGGCGTGAGTGAGAGAGAGAGAGAGAGAGAGAGAGAGCACACCGATTATCTCGAGCACTGCATTGTACAAGGGGGCGAACAAACTTCCTGGGACCGCATTTTGGAAATAGACTCCGCGAACTCAAACCAAAAAGCCCGGTTTGAATGTCTCAAAAAGACGTCAGACGTCCTTCAAAGTGTGCCTGCGGGGTAACCAGGGCTGCCAACACGTGCGCCAACACGGCCAGGTCCGCGCATCCCGGGAGCACGGCGCTTAAACACTATTTTCGGGACGCATCTCCAAACAAGCCGAGCCGAGCCGAGCGAGCCGAGCAAGCAGACCGCCTTGATGGCGCCGTTTGTGCTGTCTCGCCTGTCTCGCCTCCACGTGTTGCCGAGTCGGTGTGCGGCGCTGCGGGGGGGGGGGGGGGGGGGTTAAGTCTTTCCGACGACGTTTGAGTGTTGGCCCCGGCCGAGGCCCCGGCCAGCCCCGGCCAGGCCGTTACGCGCTAAGAGCGCTCTTCAATTTCATTACATAAAATTTGCATTTATGTACAGAGGGGCGCGGCGCGGTGGGCACCCGGCACGGCACTGCAAGTGACGGCACGGCACGGCGCGGCACGCCACGGCACGCCACGGCACTGCGATTATCCAAAGGACAGGAATGAAAGGGGTTTCGTGGCGGCGAGGCTGGCGGGGTGACGACGCCCGGCTGTAATATGCATGGTTTCGCTTTGTCGGTCGGTCTTGCATGTCGTGTTTGTGTGTGTGTGTGTGCGTGCAATACCGTGAGGGGTGGGGGTAAATCTTGGCGCACTCGTCAACGCCGCGGGTAGCGCCGCCCTGTGATTAATGTCAACTTTGCCGCCGTCAAGCGGCCGGCCGGGCATGCAGGCAGCGCTCCATGCTGTCTCTCTCGCACCCGAGGAGTGGGCCCGAGGAGCACCGGATTGCTTCCGAGGGACGCCTCTTCTCTCTCTCTCTCTCTCTCTCTCTCCTCTCTCTCTCTCGGTGTGTGTGTGTGTGTGTGACTGCGTGACCGCAGGCGGGGCTCCGCACTGCTCCGCACGCGGCATGCAGTCACGGCCAACCCGGACGCGAGCGGACGCGAACCCCGAGGGCGGCGCCGCGGGGGCAGGCCACCCCCCAAGGGGCCCAAGGGGGACGCGGGGGCACGCCCCCTAGTCAAGACAGGGCGGCGGTCATGCGAGCCCCCCCCCTCTCTCTCACACACACACACCCGGAATGTGGTCTAGGCGCAGGAATTTTTCTAATCATGATGTACTGCACCGCGGCGGCGACCGGCATCCAACGTTCCGGTTCCACTGCGAAGTGCAAACCCTTCCCAGTGTCCCTCCTCTTTCGGCCGCCTTTTCCGGTCACGCCGGCCTGGCTCGGCCTGGCTTCCTGCAGGTGCATTTTGCATATGCTGCTCGCGCGTGTCCCGCACGCCCCCTAGAGGGGTGGCGGAGCGGGGCGGAGCGGGGGGGGGGGGGTGGGTGGGGGGGGTGGGGGGGGGTGGGGGGGGCATCCCTCGAGGCTTCGGCCCGCACACTCGGCCCTGTCCGTCCGTCTCGACGCTTTGCCAGCGTCCCAACGCCAGGCCAGGCCACGCCACGCCACGCCGCGCCACGCCACGCCACGCCACGCCACGCCACGCCGCGCCACGCCACGCCACGGCAGTGCAACGCAAACAACGCACGCCCATTCCTCACTGCCATGAATGTTTCACGCGCACCTGTCTCCTCATTGGCAGCGCCACACTATCAGGCGGACGGACGGGCAGACAGACAGACAGGCAGGCAGACGGACGGACGGGCAGTCTTGCAAGTCGATGGCCAAGTTGCACGTTAACGCCGGGGACGTGAGTGGAATGCCGCGCAATGCCGCGCAGTGCTGCGCAGTGCTGCGCCCCGCCGTTGGCCGCGTCGCTCTGCACTGCAGCCGCCTGGCGGGTAGGCAATCCGCAGACGTGTGCGTGTCGAAGCTAGTGCGTTGCCTACCCGGCGGGGCGCTCGGCCAAGTGCCTGACGTCTTAATTCTATCTCTCTCTCCCTCTCTCTTTTCCCTCACACTTCCTGTCTTTCTCTCTCCGCTGGCAGGGTTTCCGCCTCGGACAACGGTCCGGCGGCTGTTTCGGGTTCACGCGTGCGGCGGAGCGGTTGCAGCGTTTGAGGGAACAGGTTGCATCCCTGGCGCGCCAAGCTCCGCGGCCCCGCCCCCCACCCCCACCCCCCCCCACCCCCCACCCCGCCCCAGCGCGGCGCCGCACGGCGGGGCCCGGCCGTGCGGGCGGGCTGGCGGCCAGTACCGTCTGAGCGGTCGCCCCTGTCGGAACCCAGAGCGCCAGGACCGCGCCGCCAGGACCCTCGGCCCGCGAAAGGCGCCGCGAAGCTCGCCGAGCGCGCGCTAGCCGGCACGTGCCCCGTCCGCGAGAGCGCGCGCGCGCGCGTGTGTGTGTGTGTGTGTGTGAGTTTCTTTCCGTCTGTCTGTGTGAGTGTGTGTTTGACGCTGCGTCCCCGGAGTGCCCCTGAAGCCGGCCACATTAACGTAAGCAGAAAAAGTCGACAGTCAGAGGCGCCGGCGCCGGTACTCGAACCGGTGACTCGGCTGGGCCGGGCCAATCAGATTGCCTGGTCTTAAAGATTTTTCTCCGCTCTCCGCCCGGCATGATCAACATTCGTTCCTTGGGATCCACGGGCTCAGCTCACGTTTGCCACGTGGGTAGTAGCGTCCACGCACAAGACAGTCGGTTCGTAAGGATTTTATTCGGCCCGAACGCATAAGACGGCAAGCAGTTTCAAATAATTTCACCCCTTGTGTGTAACTCTTTGAGACGAGAAAGATTTCGAGCCTTGAAGAGGGCCCGGGAGGATTGTCCGGATGCTCATTTAACAATCAAGGCAACCCGCCGAGGTACTTGCTCAGAGACGAAGTCGCTTCGTGACTCTAATCCCATATTAGTGTGGTCCACGGCCCACGCTTGGTGGAGTCCTGGAACGCCCTGTGCAGTGTGGTGTGCGAGACGACGAGCCGAAACCACGCTCTCGTCCCGCAGTGGGCCAGAAGACCGGTGGAGGCGGCCAAAACTCTAGACGCGTTTTGAGCCCGAGGGTCGCTAAATGGGCCTCGAACCGAACGTGTGACTCCACCAATGGATTGCTCTCCGAACGAGGAATCCATTGGTGGGGTCACACGGTTCGAGTCCTGCTTAGCGACTCTGGAGCTCAAAACGCGTCTAGAGTTTTGGCCGCCTCCACCGGTCTTCTGACCCACTGTGCGTCCGCGCCACTGGCCGCTACAGTGTACGCCCTGTCAATTTTCCCCGATAACTACTTTCTCGCCGTCCAATAAAGTTGGCGAGCGGCGGCCCGATCCACTTCGCATGGACAAAGTGTGTTTCCGTTCGGAGCGGAGTAAAAAGGCCGATTGCCAAAGTGTCGAAAAACGGCCTTTGACGCGGCATTCGGTATTCCGTCCACGCGGCGGGGCGCAGCGGCGCAGCCTGGCGCTACCTTCACTTTGCAGAAGCACTGCGGGGGCGGGGCGGGGCGGGGCGCCTGGGGTGCGCCTATCCGTGACAGTTTCCCCTTCAATATGGAAATGCCGGCGTTCATAGCTCCTTAACCCAGACAGTCAACAGAGACGTCTCAGCGCGGCGTGCTGCTTGCCGCCCGACACCGCGGTGCCAGTCGGACGGACGCCGAGGACGCCGAGGACACCGTCGACGGCTCCCCCGCCACCGCTCCACAACTTGGGGGCCGCGCCGCCGCGCCCGCCGCCCGCTTAACGCCGTTGGCAAAGTCGCTTTACATCATTTATCAGTGCCGGGATTAGGAAATTACGCGAGCAAAAAGCGGCACTCGTGGAATTCCAAATTAGAAATAATCTAAGACCGCGGAGGGGTTGCCGAGCCACTCGCCGGAACTTGAGAGACGGACGAACGGTCGAATGGCGCGCTGAGCGGCCAGAGTTGGCAGGACGTCGAAACGGACCGGATTCGGAAGAAAATGGCTGTCCGAGGCAACGCAGGCCGTTTTGACAGTCCTGTCCGGCCCCGCGGAAGTGGCGCAGGTACGGCTGGGCACGGACTGCTGTCCGCCCGAGCGCGACACGCCACCAAAACAAACACACCAACACACTGCCAAGACGGGACGTCATTCGCTAGTCCCAGCCGCAAACGCAAACAGTTCGGCCACGTTCAGCAACTTGTCAACTTGAAACTTAGTTTGCTTGACAAAGTTACAACCTGACTGCCTGAGCAATGCCGCCCGAGGGGCTGCCTGCCTGCCTGGCTGCCTGGCTGCCTGCCTGGCCGGCCCCGAGTGGCACTGGCCGCCCCGGGGAATGCAACCTCTGTGTTAAGGGAAGCTCTGGTTGGTCACTTTGTGGCAAGCAAGCCTGGCGAAGGGCTGGGCCTGCCTGGGCCGCGTTAACTACGAGGTCTCTATGGAACAGTTTGGTGTTGTGCGCGTGGCGGCCTGGCGGCGCGCCTACCGGCCTGGCGGGGCGGGGCGGGGCGGGGCGGGGCGGGGCGGGGCGGGTCCCGCAGGTTGATGAGCTGGCAGCAGCAACTAGGCCTCGGTGTCGTCTCCCGTTTCGCTTTTAAAACGCCGCCAAGCCGGCCCCGCGAGCCTCGTGGATCAGCGTGCACCGACCACAGAACTAGGTGAAAAGGGGGCCTCTAGATAGAAAAAAGTAAACACAAAACAAAATAAGTGGAAAGTACACAACAATTTCAACTTGGATTTTTTCCTGTGTTTGCTTACGTTTTGAAAAATAGCCAATCCTCCCGTTTTCCGGCAGTGTGGTGCGTAGCTTCAAACACAGTAGTGGGAATTCGCTGGGAGTGTGGAGTAAAATATACAGCACGGAGGGAGACAGATGGATGGTTAGATAGGGCGGGAGGGAGGAGGACAGCCTATAATCGGTGTCCTGACGCGATGCAAGATACAATCCAGACACGCAACTCTACGTCCCGCGCGTGTGTTCATTGAAAGCCTATCGCGACAGTCGGCGTCAACTACACGTTGTTTTTCGCTCCGATATGTGTGTATATCACGACTTTCATTTGTTGCCCTTTTTTTAATGCGACTCGCTGCGTTTCTGCCCCCGTTCCCGAGTCAGACTGAATATTCATACAGCGCGCGTCGATTTCAGCGCCGCTCTCTGGTGGCACTTTGGCAAACTAACGGGGCCGGGTTTTGTATCAAAAGTGACAGCGGTGCAGCGGCACAGCGGGCACAGCCACTGCGGGTATTTCTGTGCACACCAAAAAACAACAACAACAAAAACTGAAAATTTTGGGGTTTTGCGGTGGAGGCGCTGAAACGCGACCGCCTTGCGTCACTCGAAGCCAAGCGAGCCCAGCGTGCCGCTTGCCAGGCTGTCGGGCCTGTCGCGCCAAATCTGTCCAAGCCTCGCCTCCCCGGAGAGGCCCTCGCCGGGCCTCGCCGACAATCTATCCGGCTCGGTTTACAATATTTCCCCCCGGCCGTGCCGTGCCGAGCCGCGCGGTGCGGCGCCGCGGTTCAAAGGACCGCGCCCATTTTTCGCGCCAAAACAGGCCGGATTTTAATTACTTTTGTTGTCGTTTTTTTTCGTGTGGCGCCTGCGGCGCTGTATCGCCGCGATGACGAATGTCGCGGTAATGCGAGTTTAATACTCGCCTGATTCATGTCGCCGTGTTTGCGTGAGTGTGTGCGTGCTTGTGTGTGTGTGTGTGTGTGTGTGTGTGCGTGTGTGCGTGTGTGTGTGTGTGTGTGTGTGCGCGCGCGCGCGCCGGCGTGCCCCTTGGGGCGTATTCCGTGTCAATCCAGGAGCCATAAAGTGAATCGGGGCGTCGAAACACGAGGAGTTCCTCCTTCGGCCGGAGGACTTCCCTGTCGCTCGGACCGCCTTTTAAATCTGGCCTGCAGTGGGGTGGTGCGGACGCACGGCCTATCCGATGAGTGAGCCCTTCGCCCCCGCGCCCCCGCGGCCCTTCGGCCCTTCGGCAGGCCCGGCGTTTTATGGAGACATAAATAGTGGCGGGCCGCGTTTTGGAGGGGAGTCATTGCGCTCCGGCGAGCCAGACCTGGCGAGCAAGGCCGGGCGGGGCTCGAAAGATAGGCCGGTTTTACCACCATCCGCGCGCCAGCAGCGCAGTCGTTGAACTGAAGGGAAAGAAAAGGCACGATGTATTGTCGGTAGTCGAACCCGGGACTTTTCAACTTGGAGAAAAATTCCAGCAGTGTCAAAGCGTGATGCCAGCCGGTGAAAAAACGCCTCGGCTCGGCAGTGTGGTGCATCTGCACGGCGGCCCGGGCAGCAAAGGCTGTGGAAATTGGAGAGGCGGCAAGGAGGCACGGCACCGAACTGGGCGTTCGTTTTCCATTAGCATAAATACGCCTGACGCTGATGCTCCAAGGGGGCAGTATCTTGCTGTCACTCTGCCGGGACAGCTGCGCCGCAGGGCACCGCAGGGTGTCCACTAGAACGCCGTACTTTACCGCCACGCGTTGCACTAGCGGCTAATTGTTTTTGCCGCCGCTTTTTCCTCGCAGACACCAGTGAAGGCCTTTTTCGTGCTCCGCGAGTCGGACGGGCCGACACGGACAGCCCGTTGCAAATTTTACGGCAGGCTCGAAAAATTTAATTTTAAATGCACCGCCGCCGACCAGTCGGCAGCCGCGCCGACCCTTTCCGACCCCCTTTTCCGGCCTTTCACTTTCCCCCGCCCCTTCCCCCTCCCCCTGCCCGCGCGCTTACCGAGGGGACATAAAAGTGAGGGGTCCCCTAAGGAGGGGGCAAGGACCCTTGCAGGGCCCCTTGCAGGGCCCTCTGCCCACCGATCGGCCCTAAACAAAAGCAAAGGGCCACATGGAGGACCGACGGACGCCGAGCCGCGGACCGCCGAATAGCAAACGACCCGAGGTAATTAAAGAAAGTAGACCGGCAACGTCGCGCACGCGCCCGTGTCGTGTCCGGCTTGTAGTGCCCCAGTCGGCCCCAGTCGTCAGGCAGGCCGGCACACTGCATTCGGAGCCCCGTTAAAAGGGTGCCCCCTGGGTGTGTGTGTGTGTGTGTTTGTGTTTGTTTGTGTGTGTGTGTGTGTGTGTGTGAGAGAGAGAGAGAGAGAGAGAGAGCGAGAGAGAGAGAGAGGGGGGGGGAGCAGTGAGAGTGTGTCCTTCGCCTGTCGTGCCTGTCCTGCCCGTCGTGCCTAGCCCAGCGCGGGAACAGGTAGGGATGGACCGACAGGGTCCGCTGGATCGCCAATTAAGTTCGGCAGCCGGAAAAAAGGAGACCTGCCGTCCCCCTGGAAAACGAGGGAGAGAGAAAGAGAGAGAGAGAGGGGGGGGGGCTTTCATCAGGAAGAGTGCGGGGGACTGGCTAAAGACACAGAGACAAACTGACTTTGCTGCAGCCACTTGTCGTTGGCTACTTTCCATCACCGCCGTCATGTTTTTTCCCAGTGCGGTTGTTTGCCCCGTTCTTCCATATCTCGTCGTCGGAGTGCATTGGCCTGGCGGCGTCTCGGCTGTTTTTTGCAGACGCTGCAATGGCTGAGTCAGCAGCTCAAGCCGTAGACATGGTGTTTTGTGGCTGAGACGGAGGGGAGGGCGGGGCCTCGGAAGCGGTTCGAAAATCCGTTTACGTTCTCCGGTCGTTGCGGTGAGGTGTCGAAGGCCGTCATTGGAGTCTATTAAGAATTCATTCCACAGTCCGGCCGGCCTGCCGAACGACGGTGGCGGTGCGCGGCGTTTAACGGCGGTGTGTTTGTTGACTTGTCCGCCGGCCGCGCCGGGCCACGCCGCCGCACTCAACGCTAGAGTACCGGCAACCTTTCTTGCACCCCGGGGGGCCCGCGCCCGAAGGCAACGGGCCCGGCTTCCGCTGCCCGAGGGAAAGGGGGTCCGACACCCGCTGGCAGGGGGGGGGCGCAGACTGGCGGCACAGCAGAGTCAAATAAATTTTAATGTTAAAATCCTTATTGAAATACGATATTCGGACCTGCAACAGGGCCAAAACAATTTAAAAGCGGAATTGCACTTGCCGTTTTTGGAAAATAATTCATACACGAATATTCTGAACGCAACGTCTAAAACGAGACAAATTGTTGTCCTCTGCTGCCAAAAATCACGTCTAATCAAACTCAATCACTAGGAGAGTTGATTAAGACTCTTCCTCTATAGGCCTTTCTTCCGAGAATAAGGGCGCTCCCGCCCGACGGTCCCATCCCCAGTGTGTCCGCCCGCTCAGCGCGCTTGGCACAGGCAAAATGAGGTGGACTGTACGACTGTTTTAAGTCAGCTTCCGGGCCTCACTCTTAGGGCACCAATGGATACCCCACACCGGCCGAAACATTTTGGGGTGACACCGCCCCCAGAAACGTGTCCCGTTTAAACAGGCACCTAAGCGCTCGCAGCCCCGGGGCCGCGCCGAGCACCGAGCAACGCGCCGAGCACCGCGCCGAGAAGGCCCCGACCTAACCCCGGGGGGAGGGGGTGGGGGTGGGACGCAGATACGTGGCGGCAAACAGCAGAGTAGCAACGTACTCGCTCAAAGTGTTCCAAAGACCGCCATCCCGCCGAGGGAGTAAGTACGTTTTGCCCGACGCCGCACAGTGGGCCAGAAGACCGATGGAGCGGACAAAACTCTAGACGTGTTTTGAGCTCCAGAGTCGCTAAACTGGACTCGAACCGAACGTGTGACCCCACCAATGGATTCCTCGTTCGGAGAGCAATCCATTGGTGGGGCCACACGCTCGGTTCGAGTCCCATTTAGCGACTCTGGAGCTCAAAACGCGTCTAGAGCTTAGTCCGCCTCCACTGGTCTTCTGGCAAATCCACTGTGTGTCGTGGCCGCTCATCACGACGACTTGCAGACATTTATCGCTGTTTTGTTCATCCTTGCCAGCAGTGTGCCTCCATGACCGCGCCGTGTCTCTGTTGCAGGCCGTGCAGGCCGCCATGGCGGTGTTCGGCCGCGCGTCCGACGGAGGCGGCCAGGCTGTTCTCGCAGTGCACCAGCGCGCCTAACTCTCCGGCGGACTTCGAGCACATCCACTCCACCATGAGCGAGGAGCACCTCTACCTCTACGTGCACCTGCTGCTGGCCGGCGTGCTGTCCCCTCACGGTAAGGACACGCCAGCACGCGCCCGCCAGGCCGCGCGCCCGTCATGCTAGCCCTTAATGGTAATGGTAATGGTCGAGAGCATAGGCTGTCCCGCCACGCACGCGTGCAGCCGTACTACCTCGCAGGCGCCTCCGACAGATGCCACTTAAAAACTCTCAGAGAACTCACAAAATATTATCGATGGTTTAATTAATTTCTTACAAAAAAGTAACACACACACACACACACACACACACACACACACTCACTCACTCACACATATACGTGTAACTGTTTACATGGTTAGAGCTATTACGACGGTAAAAAGCCTCTCTTCGAAAAAAAAACGAACAAAACTGGAAACAAACGACGCCCACCCTGCTTATTAACGTCCCGCCCAGCCGGGCCTGCTTCTTTCGCCGATCGCTTGATAATCCGGATCGTGTTCGGCAGAAAGGAAAACGATGTATGGATGCATCCACACGCGGGGCGGGTAGGCGGCGGGCAGGCGGCGGGCAGGCGGCCCGTTCGAATCGATGCCCGGGATTAGTGGGGCGGGCGGAGGGGCGCACCGAAGACGAGGTCGAAGACAACGACGGCCTAGACGGCCTGGTTGGTGGCGTGCGCGCGGCCCCCGCGGCCCCCCCGCGGCCCCCCCGCGGCCCCCCCGCCCCGCGGCCGGCCGACCGGTCAGTAGCAATCCGTTGGGACGCCGCCGGGCCGCCGGCTCTGGCAGAGTGGCTAAAGTGCGGCCTGCTGCACTCTAAAAAAAGGCCCGGCGCGCTAATGCATTACCCTTGTCGCGCGTTGTACAGCGGACAGTTTCAGCGGGGATAGCTTTAGCGTCAGCTGAAGGTCGCCGTGTTGCTTTTTAATTTTTCGCACCGCCCTGTTTTCCCTGTCCGTTGTTTTTTTTGTTGTTGTGGGAGGGCGTGTCGGGGCGTTCTGTTCTGGAAGGACGGTTGAGGGTGGTCGCGCGTGATGGGCACGAGATTCGAGATTCCTCCCCGCCTTGCATAACCTCGCCAGGGCGGGTCCGTGCCGTGCCGTGCCGTGCCGTGCCGTGCCGTGCCGCGCCCCGTCTCCGGATTCTGTCCAGGGACTGCGTCGTCGGCCGTCCCTCTAGCGCGCCGTCACCGTGTCCCCGACAGTTCAGTGACCAGAAATTTTGACAAGATTGTGTGCGATTCGGTCCGCTTCCGCTCCAGTGGCGTCGCTAGCAACACCCCGTGTTTGCTTGACCGCCCCGGCCGTCTGTCTGCCTGCCAGTCTGTCTGTCTGTCTGTCTGTCTGTCTGTCTGTCTGTCTGTCTGTCTGTCTGTCTGTCTGTCTGTCTGTCTGTCCACCGTCGGTCATCCGTGTGTCTGAGGGACGCAGGAAACTTTGTGAACGCACCGAAGAGAGACCGGAAACGGACCGGAAGTCGACCTGCTGTAAAGCCCAGCCAATCGAGGGGACAGACAGACAGACAGACAGACAGACAGACAGACAGACAGACAGATAGACAGACAGACAGACAGACAGACAGACGGACAGACGTGGTCTCGATCTGGGTTTCCGTTCCACCCGCCAGTTTGGCACTGCATCTTCAGTGTCCTAGATACATAATCAACCATTTTTTGGGGTAGATTTTATGATTTTTTTTACTGGGCGTAACATAGTCTGTAAGGTTTTCAGGGTGTCTAAAATACCCACTATCTTTTTCAGTTCGATTAGATTTTTCACGCGGTGAAGTCCTTGTCAGTTTCCCCGCCGCGCCCTCTGCTTGGCAGGGTGCATTTGGATGCGAGCCTCGGTGTTTATCACGGCCGTTTTTCACCCTGATACAGTGTGGGCATTATTTGCCGCTCGTGTGCTGCGGCCCGCCGGCCTGTACAGGACGTCCTCGGCCTGCAGGTCATCTGGGTCATTACCACCCGGAAGGACGGGCGGACGGACGGACAGACAGACAGACCGACCGTGCGGCCCGTGGCTTTGACCCACAGGGAGGGACTGGAGCTGGATTAAAAACGGTGACCTGTATGACGTGCCTCCATTTCCCTATCTGCGCTATCGTGTGTTTAATTGCCACCCGGCTGCGTGCGCCGTCTCTCTCGCACTCGTGGGCCGGCCCGCTGGAGAGAGAGAGAGAGAGAGAGAGAGAGAGAGAGAGAGAGAGAGAGAGAGAGAGAGAGAGAGAGAGAGAGAAAGAGAGAGAGACCGGCCTTGCGCACGCGCGTGTGCCGAGGCCGTGCCTCGCGATCGGCCTATCAGGACACTATGGCCGTGTCCTGCGGTGTCCTGGGTGTCCTGCGGCGTCGCGCAGTGCTTCCGGGCGATCCCTTAGCGCGAGTTACGGCATGCCCGGGGCTCTCTCGCAGGCCCTGCAGGGTGCAGGTCGGACTGCAAAAACGCCCTCAATCCACACTCCGAGTGTCGCAGTCGCAAGCACCAAACGGCTTGATTTCTTGAAAGAAAAAAAGAAAAAAAAACCTAAGTAAAACTTAAGTAAAACTTTTAACTTTGTTTTATTTTTTTGCCACTCTGCACTCAAAATGTTCTACAGTGAAGATTCTCCATATTATGGTGAAAATGTTCCATATTATGGTGGTGCAGCTGACTTCGTAACATACCATCGAGAATTCACTGTACCTTATGGAGATTTTCACGAATTTCATTGGTATTATGGAGAAAATCTCCACCATATTATGTAGGTGCAGCCTTTCACCGGTAAGACATTTACTGTGTGCTGCTATGCAGCGTTGCGTTGCACTGTGAGTGCGAGGGAGACGGCAGAGGTGGAAAAGGGCGTGTGTAGTAGATTCGCGGTCAGTCGCTGCTCACCTGACCACTGGCAGTAAACCGAGACCGACGCCCGCGCCGCCCGACGCGTGGCCCGCCCCCCCCCGCCCCGCCCCACCCCGCCCCGCCCCGCCCCGCCCCGCCCCACCCCGCCCCGTCCCGCCCCTCCCCGCCCCGCCCACGAAAGCCGGCCCGAGCTCTTCCCTATCTTTGACACCTGTTCGCAAACCCACCCCTATATTACCGCCACCACTGGCCTGGCCTGGGCGCGCTTCGGCCTCGGCCCCCATTGTCATACCTACGGCCACGGCCTGGCCTGGCCTCGGCCACGGCCCCTTCTGATTCCCCTGGCAGCCGTTTTCGCCTCTGATTTGCACCGAGATATCCGAGGCCGTGTTAGACCGGTCTGTCTGTCGGAGTGCCGGGCCCGCCGGGCCTGCCGGGCCGGAGGAGGCCAAATGGGTGGATAATGCAGGTTGCTCGACGCGCGGAGGAAAGAGGGGCAAAAAATGTAATGAAATAGGGAGGGACAAATAAGCTGCCGGGGCTGTGACGGCCGACCCCCTACAAACAGCAGCCCATAAATTAAGAAATGTTACCTGCGGGAGCCACGAACACGGCGCGGCGCGGGCGCTGTACTCACGGGAAGATTAGACCCAGTCAGCACACCGCTCTCTCTCTCTCTCTCTCTCTCTCTCTCTCTCTCTCTCTCTCTCTCTCTCTCTGTCCCTCTCGTCTCTCTCCCACTCCCCGATCCGCTTCCCTTCCGGCCCGCTCTTCCAGCTCCACTGGCATAAATCAACATTAGCCTCTCAGGGGACGATTTGAGCCCAACGGCGACCACGTTGCCCTCTTCCCTCCGCCTCCCTCGTGACCGTGATGGTGTGGTGCCATCATCCCATTGATTTTCCTTCGCTGCCCATATTGGCCGGTGACGGCTACAAATGGCCCCCATTTGACTTGATACCTGTCCGCGCCCCGCTCTTGGCGGACCACAGTGGGCCAGAAAGCCGGTGGAGGCGGACGAAACTCTAGTCGCGTTTTGAGCTCCAGAGTCGCTAAACAGGACTCCAACCGAACGTGTGACCCCTCCAATGGATTGCTCTCAGAACGAGGAGTTCATTGGTGGGGTCACACGTTCAGTTCGAGTCCCGTTTAGCGACTCTGGAGCTCAAAACGCGTCTAGAGTTTTGACCGCCTCCACCTGTCTTCTGGCCCACTGTGCGGACACTTCCCGGCTTCGAAAAGCACCTTCGGAAGTTACATCAAATCGACATAAAGTAATCTAAGTGAAGAATTCATCTGAGAGTGATTTTCCTATCAAAATGAACTGAAGTATACTTGGTTTGACTTCGCTTTTGGCCCAGTGCTGATAACAAACGCGAGTGTCCGTCGGCTGCATTATCAACGGGCCGTCCTGTCGAATCGCTGGCCTCCATTCTTCATCGCCCCAAAAAGGTCGGCGCCGGGGTTGAGTGCTTGCGCCAATGACAGCAGGGCCTTGCCGCGTTACTTGTTAACGAGGGGATGTAGCATTCAGCCGAATCGAAAAGGACGAAGCAGAACGACCACACATTCACAGAGTCTCGAAAGTGACAAGAAGAGTAGGGTCATCGCCGCCAGCCGCCACGCCCAAACACCATCATCGCCTCCCCCCGCCACCCCCGTCTCCCTCCACACCGTGCGTACCGCTACCCCCGTCTCCCTCCACACCGTGCGTACGCCGGCGGGTTTATCCTCGTCGCCAGAATAATCTCACGGCCCCGGGTACCGGATACAATATTGGCACAACCATCACGCACCCTGGCCTCAATTTCATGTTGTTGTTTGTTTTTCGCGGCTCCACACCTGGCCTCGTTCCCGGCACCGCTCGCGGTGTAGGCGACCCTGCCGGCGCGGCTCGTTGCTGGCGGTGCAGGCGGTGCTGGCACACCATGGTGGCGCGGCAGCGGCAAGCAGGCCAGCTTAGGCCACACTAGTGTCTTCCTGTTGCAGCGTTTTATGGAGGGCCGTGCTTTTGTGCGCAGGGACAAACGAATGGCGGTGGTCTCTGTGTGTGTGTCCTTACTTGCTTGTACAGAATGCAGGCCACCTCCTCACCTCGCTCCGCCCTTCGTCTGAGTTCAGTGAGTCAGTCTGTCTGTCTGTCTGTCTGTCTGTCTGTCTGTCCGTCCACGTCGTCTGCGCAGTTATTTCTTTATCCTTCACTGGCCCCCCGGGCTCATGCAGACGGTCAGTGG